AATACCATATATATATAAAATATATAAAAATTGCCATGTGGGTACTTAAATGAAAGGTCTTGACGAGAGTAACATCGGGATGAGCTTATATCTTTAAAAATGTCAATAGTTCACGAGATACAAGGTCATTTCTTAATTATGTATCTAGAGATAGAGCATTTTGATTGCAGCCTAAATACTTATTATCATAAATTGACTATTGATGAGAATAATATGAAACCTTGAAAAGGCACAAATTAAAACCTATTTTATCATATATATACACTGGCCACAAAATTTTGCTCATTCTCTTAATAATATAGATGATACTGAAGTCTTCACTCGACTTATCTTCCAATCAACCTCAATCCAAAAATATGTAAAATTATCTAATTAATATAAACAAACTGATAAACCAAAATTTTCATTTTATTTAAATCACAGATAGTAAATAAAAATTAGATAAGTTCTGCTATATAAGTCGCAGTCTACATACCTTGTCATCGATTATCGATAGATAGTTCACTATGTGGTTCGCACTGTTATTTTTGGGCGTTGCTGCAGTTAATGGTATATTATTTCTCTTTATTTACAATGTACAATTATAAATTTATTAATTGAAATTAATTAAATTAATACTTAAGGAGTGCCAACTCTGAGGGTAGTGGGCGGTCAGGACGCACCTGATGGAAAATATCCCTACCAAGTGTCATTAAATGTAATGGGGTGGCACTCATGTGGTGGATCTATTGTCAGAAACCGATTCATTCTCACTGCTGCTCACTGTGTTTTTGAGTAAATTTATTAAGTTGATTTAATTAGTATTAGTGGTTTTATTTTCGCATTAATTTTCTTAAAAAAAAAAATTTTTTTATTTAAATAGTCCAATTAATGTTCAATTTTGATCAAATTTTTTTCTTAAAAATTTGCCTTAAAAAATTTTGCTAATTATTTAATTTTAGAATCAATTTTTTTTTTTTTCAGTCATAAAAATTAAAATTTTGAAAAATTTATTATTTTATAATTATTTAAAAAATAAATTTATTAATTAATTTCAAAGTTTTGAATTTTAACAAAAATTTATTTAATTAAAATTGTAAAAAAAATTTATAAAAAAATTTTTTTTTTTTGTCAAAAAATTGATATTTAAAAAATAATTTTCTAGAAAAAAAATTCTGAACGTTATTTTTAACAATTGAAGTATTATGAAGCTAAAAATTTAATAATTAGCTTAATTTATCGATACAAAATAAAAATTTTAAATGATACCGAAATTAGACACACATTTTTATTTTTTGAATTTTTAAAAATAATTAATTAATAAAAAAAAAAAATTTCTACATAAAAAATTATTTTGCAAAATTTTTTTATTATAAATTTAACTGATATAAAAAATTAAAAAAATTGTTAGATGTTTCTTAAATTTAAATAATTATAAAGTTAGTAGAGATTTTTGATTTTTCAATTCTGCTTAATTTATTAAATTAGAATTAAAAAAAAAAAACATTTTTTTTAATTGCACTTATAGTTTTTTATAGATAAATTTTTTTTTTAATTTTTTTGTAGTAATTTTTTCACTAAAAAATATTATTAGATGTTGACTAACTTAATTTTCATTAAATTTTATATCATAAATTTAAAAATATTAAAATTTGCAGTCTAATTATCTTGATAAATTTCCAGTTTACCAAAATCATTCATAACAATTGTCGCTGGAACAAATTCACTGAGCAACAGCGGCAATGTTTACGAAGTAGATGAAATTTTCGTCCACGACTTTTCTCCATCAACAATAATCAATGACATTGCATTGATCCGCACTACCTCTGAAATAGAATTCTCTGACAAAATTCAGCCGATTAAAATCAGCGAGCAGAATTTCTATGCTCACGGAGACCCTGCGGTTCTCACCGGGTGGGGATACACCGGCGTAAGTATATTTTAATTTTCTAATAAAAATTGACATTAATGTCGACCTCAAAATATAGCACTCGGGAGAGGGAGCACCTGACAGACTTAAGGAGATAAATTTGAGAATTTACGAGCAATCTGAGTGCCAGAAACATTGGTGGAGCTTACCTGAGAGCCAAATTTGCACCCTGACAGAGGCAGGGGAAGGTGCTTGCATGGTAAGTAATCTATATCTGCATTCGAGAATACTCTATCTTTAGATACATAATTAAGAAATGACCTAGTATCTTGAGAACTATTGACATTTTTAAAGATATAAGCTCATCCCGGTGTTACACTCATCGAGACCTTTCATTTGAGTACCCACATCAATTTTTCATATATTTTATATATTTATATATTTCACAAATACCATATATATGAAATATATATAAAATGCCATGTGGGTATTCAAATGAAAGCTCTTAATGAGTATAACATCAAAATGAGCTTATATCTTTAAAAATGTCAATAATTAAGAAATGACCTTGTATCTTGTCAACTAATGACATTTTTAAAGATATAAACTCATCCTGATGTTACACTTATCAAGACCTTTTATTTAAGTACCCACATCAATTTTTCATATATTTTATATATTTATATATATTATATATATGTATATATGAAAAATATATCAAAAATGCATGTGGGTACTCAAATGAAAGCTCTTAATGAGTATAACATCAAAATGAGCTTATATCTTTAAAAATGTCAATAATTAAGAAATGACCTTGTATCTTGTCAACTAATGACATTTTTAAAGATATAAACTCATCCTGATGTTACACTTATCAAGACCTTTTATTTAAGTACCCACATCAATTTTTCATATATTTATATATATTATATATATGTATATATGAAAAATATATTAAAAATGCATGTGGGTACTCCAATGAAAGCTCTTGACGAATGTAACATCGGGATGAGCTTATATCTTTAAGAACGTCAACAGTTAAGAAAGTACAGGGTAATTTAACAAATATCTTGTGAACTATTGACATTTTTAAAGATATAAGCTCATCCCAACATTATTTTCATTGAGACCTTTCATTTGAGCACCCACATCAATTTTTCATATATTTCATATATTTATTATATATGAAATTTTTCATATATTTCACAAATATCATATATATGAAATATATAAAAAATGCCATGTGGGTACTTAAATGAAAGGTCTCGATGAGTGTAATATCGAAATGAGTTTATATCTTAAAAAATGTCAATAATTAAGAAATGACCTTGTATGTTGTCAACTAATGACATTTTTAAAGATATAAGCTCATCTCGGTGTTACACTCATCGAGACCTTTTATTTGAGTACCTACATCAATTTTTCATATATTTATATATATTATATATATGTATATATGAAAAATGCATGTGGGTACTCAAATGAAAGCTCTTGATGAGTGTAACATCGGGATGGGCTTATATCTTTAAAAACGTCAATAGTTAAGAAAATACAGTACAATTTAACAAAATTCATTATTTAATTATTATAATTTATAAATTTTAGGGTGACTCGGGCGGACCATTGGTAGCCGACGGTGTCCAGATTGGAATTGTTTCCTACGGAAAACCATGCGCCCAAGGGTTCCCAGATGTTTACACCCGCGTGTTCTACTACGCCGAGTGGATAAACGAGATTATTAACTAAAATGTAAATAAAATTTATTTAGTAGAAACTATTAATCAATAAAGTTAATTGTTATCAGATCAGTTATCTGTTGGGTGCTAATTATTTTATTTAATAATACCTAAGCCATAATTTTTTGCGGTAATTAATTGCTCGGCGGAAAAACATTTTAATTTAAAGTCTTTAATCAGATAAAAAATATTTTTAATTAACAAGATTATCAAGGGAAAAAATTAACGTTATCTAGTGGAAAAAACAAAAATAATTGATAGTGGTAAGATATATAAAACTCAACATTTGTCAAGAATCGATCAGTTATTTGGCGATTTTTGAGCTCTGGAAAAAATGCACTCGTTAGTCGCTTTACAAGTTGTAATTATTGTTACGGTTGGAGCGGCACTTGCTACCCCGGGAATTTCTAGGGTTGTTGGTGGGAACGACGCTGCTGATGGCGCTCATCCATATCAGGTGTCACTGAGACGCGAAAATTCTCATTATTGCGGGGCTGTGGTCCTTAATAGCCGCTGGGTAATTACTGCTGCACATTGCGTTGTTCTGTGAGTATAAATTTTGGTTAATTATAATTATGTAGTATGATTGAAATTTTTGATCATTTTTTAATAATAAATTGTAAGAAAAAAAAATTTTTTTTTTAGAAATTGTAAAAAAATTATTAATATAATTTTTTAGAATTAATAATTTTTTTTTTTATTGAAATTTTAATAATTATAAAAATTTTTTAAATTATATATTAGCTAAAAAAAAAAAAAATTTTGATTTTAATATTTGGAAAAAAAGTACCGCATAAATTTAATTTTTAAGCTGATATAGTGAACAGTTGTATTTAGTTACTATATCAGATTTCGTTTCGTGCGAGACGAGGCTATCAGATAAAAGTTAGGTTTTTTAAATTTCTGATAAGAGAAAGCGGTCAAGTCTATTATTGTAGATAGATACTTTCATTATCAATTTATAGAGAAATTGTGCAAATAGGTTACGATTAAACATTTATTTTGTTGTGTAACAGTAGTATAGTAACCAAATATAAACTCTACTTCCCCACTGGCTGTTTGAATTTAGCTGTCACTTTACAATTTTTTTATTTTCTTAACGAAGAAATTTTTTTTGAAGAATTATTTTAAAAAATTGCATTTTTAATTTTTAAAAATTTTTACATGTTCATTTTTTTTTTATAATTTTTTTTAAAATAATTTATTTGTTACTAAAATTCTTAAAATTTTCTAGCAACTTTGCAGTCACTACGTGACTGCCGTAACTTGTGAGCTATGAGTAAATAAAATTTTACTTTATTAATTTAACTATTGATATTTTTAAAGATATAACCTCATCCAGATGTTACACTCATCAAGAGCTTTCATTTGAGTACCCACATCCATTTTTGATATATTTTTCATATATACATATATATAAAATATATAAATATATGAAAAATTGATGTGGGTATTCAAATGAAAGGTCTCGATGAGTATAATATCAGGATGAGCTTATATCTTTAAAAATATCAATAGTTAACAAGATACAAGGTCATTTCTTAATTATTGACATTTTTTAAGATATAAACTCATTCCGATGTTACACTCATCGAGACCTTTTATTTAAATACCCACATGGCATTTTTTATATATTTTATATATTTGGTATTTGTAAAATATATAAATATATAAAATATATGAAAAATTGATGTGGGTACTCATATGAAAGGTCTCGATGAGTATAATGTCGAGGTGAGCTTATATCTTTAAAAATGTCAATAAGTCTCAAGATACAAGGTCATTTCTTAATTATTGACATTTTTTAAGAAATAAACTCATTTTGATGTTACACTCATCAAGACCTTTCATTTAAGTACCCACATGCATTTTTCATATATTTTTCATATATACATATATATAATATATATAAATATATGAAAAATTGATGTGGGTACTTAAATGAAAGGTCTCGATGAGTGTAACATCAGGATGAGCTTATATCTTTAAAAATGTCAATAGTTTACGAGATACAAGGTCATTTCTCAATTATGTATCTAGAGTTTCTTCTCTTAATAATATAGATTAAATATCTGCTAAATTAATATTCATTTAAATCAAATCAAAGAATTAATTTCAGTCTTATAAAATTTTTGAATAATTTTATAACTTTAAATGATATCAAATAACTAAAATCATTTAAGTTTCAAAAAAATAATTGACAATTTTAAAAATTTCATTTCTTCAAGCCAGATGTCTGTTGATAAACAATTGTTTAAAAAAAAAACTATTTTCAGGGTGAATACAACCGGAGTGACAGCAGTAGTCGGCACCAACACCCTCTCATCAGGCGGCAAGGTATACCACCCGGACTTATTCATAGTCCACAAAGACTACAAGCTCGCAGTGATCAACGACATCGCGCTGATCAGAGTCTCCAAGGCGATGAAATTCACCCGGAAAGTCCAGCCGGTTCTGCTGCCAACCACTGACTCCTTAACAAAATCCTACCCCGTGACACTGTCCGGGTGGGGAAGAAACAGTACTAACGGAGCAATTCCAGAGAATCTTCAAGAGATTGACCTGATGGTGATCAGCCAGCTCAAGTGCAGGATCTACCACCCGATTTTGTTAACTAGAGGACACATTTGCACCCTGACTGTCCGCGGCGAAGGAGCTTGCAATGTAGATAATTATTTATTTATTTTTGATAATAAAAAATTTTGAGTGATTTGATTTTACTTTTACTTTTTAGGGAGACTCAGGTGGACCGTTGACTGCCAATGGCACTCTAGTTGGCATAGTATCTTTTGGAAGTCCATGTGCTAAGGGAGTTCCTGATGTTTATACTCGCGTCTATCACTACTTAAACTGGATCAATCAGACACTTGCTAAAGCTAATACAAATTACGATGATGATATTCCGAATTTTGTGATTGATTACTTGTGAAATATTAAAAATTGTAATTAAAGAGATTTTTCAATTGCTAAAATTGCGAATAAAAATAAAATGCGACAAATATTTTTTATTGATGTGAAAAAAATAGATGGGTAAGTTGAACAATGAATGAAATTTATGGAAAAAAAAAAGAATCAAATTTTTAAATTAAAAAATTATTAAACACACTAAAAAAAAAAAAAAAATTAGTTGAACCAAGAAAATAATTTTAAAAAAGTTTCTTTATCTTAAATCTTGAAAAATTATTTAATCGAAAAAAATTTTCTTAAATTAAGACGATAAAATTCTTCAAAATTATTTTCTTAATGAAATTGTAGACAGAAAGAAAAATTTCTTGACTGAAGAACAAAATTCTTGGCTCAAGAAAATTTTCGGGTGCCTGAAGAAAGACCGAAGTTGTGTTGGCCAATGTAAAAATTCTATTCTTGGTGAAAGTAATTTTTTCTTAATTCAAATTATCATAAATACTTGATACAATAAATTTTTATATTTGCCCGGGTAAAAAAGATTATATATAATTAGGTATATATTACTTACATATAATTATATGTAATTATATATAATTAGGTGCAGCATTTTTTAATAATTATATATAATCATTTACAATTACATATAATTAGATGCAGCATTTTTTAATAATCATATATAATTATATATAATTGCATATAATTATATATTATTATATATAATTATATAGGACCATTTTTCATATATAAATTATATATAATCTTTTTTACCCGGGTGATCAAGATTTTTAGATACTTTAGGAAAGCAGCGCCACCTACTTGAGCTGAGAAAAAAATTTTCTCACCTTGAGAAAATTTTTCTCTTGAATATTTGATACCCATGTTATATTATTTAAGCGTGCAATTATACATATTGAAAAAAAAAAAATGATGAAATATTATTTGATCTTCCCATTTGACATATTAATCAATAAAAATATTAATGAAAATTTACTTCTATCATTATATTTAATTTTTTGGAGCAAGAGAGAAATTTTATCAAGACAAGTGAAATTTCTTGTGTCAAAAAAAAAATTTTTTTTCGCTCAAGAAAATAATTAGGAAGAAAAATATTTTCTTGGCTTAAGTGAACTTTTCTTTGTCTGTGTAATAAATTAAATTTACATTTTAAAATTCCGCAATCTAAGCAGATAAGTTTATCGATAGTTTTTAAAGAATCTGATGGTATAAAAGGTGGTGAGTAGTCAAAGATTAATGAGAGTCTTTATCCGCGATGAAGTCAGCAGGTACAATAATAATCTTGGTAATTATCGCAAGTGCTCTTGCTCCGGCAGCAGCTCGCGAAATTCCGCGGATTGTGGGCGGCCAAGCCGCTAAGGATGGCGCGTATCCTTATCAAGCTTCTTTGAGACTTTCCGGGTTTCATTTTTGCGGAGGAGTTGTTATTAATGATCGCTGGGTTCTTACCGCTGCGCATTGTCTTTATTAGTAAGTATTTTTGATTGATTTTCTTTTAAAAGCCAATTTTTTACTTTGTAAATACCAATTACATTAAAATTAAATTTTTATTAGAAATTAGATCGATTAAAATAATTATTTTTAATAAATTTTATGAATTAGAATTTTACAATTTTTTTTTTCTAATTAAATTTGTAGAGAAACGTTTTAAAAATTCAATTTTATGTCAATTTTTCATATTTTTAACAATTAATTAAATAGTTATCAAATAAATAGTTATTTTTTTTAATAAATTTAAGTCTTTTTTATTAATTTTCAAGTCTTTTAAGTCAATTTGTCTTTTTTATAAATTTTAAAGTCTAAAAACTTTGATTAAAACTTTCAACTAATTTTGCCAATAGAAATTAAAAAATATTAAATTTTTCTCGATTTTTATGTATTTTTTTATAATTAATGATTTTAAAGACTCTGAAAATTACAAAAAAAAATACTTTTTTTTTAACTTAGAATGCTTTTTTTCTATTAATTTAAATTTAAAAATGAGAAGAAATAACTTTTGTATGAATTTAGTCGGAAGAAAATTCAAATGTTTGTTAAATTTAGTTTTTTGACATCTTAACGCTGAAAAAATAAAATTTTAAAGTTCTAATAATTTATTTGTAATAAATCTAACTTTTAAAAGCTTAAAAACATATTTATCAAAGAAATAGTACTTGTAGAATTTAACACATTAAAGTTAGCTGTTTTTTGACCAATTTTTAATTTTATTTAACAATTAAATTAATTCTAAAAAATTATTTTTAAAAAATTGCATTTTTTATTTTAAAATATTTTCTACATATCAATTTTTTTTGCAGTAATTTATTACCATAAAAAATTATCAAATATTTCCACTTTAATTTTCATTAAAATTTCTATATATGTAAATTTTTTTTTCTTATTTTTTTTGCCATAATTTATTCGTTAAAAAAAGTTCTAAAAATTATTAATTATCTGCTAAATTAATTTATTTCATGTCTACTTTTATAATTTAGAAGAAAAATATGAAAATATATCATAACCATGAAAATATATATAATTCTATACTAATATTTAGATGCGCGCTTGCGCGCGCAACGTATACTAGTAGAATATAAAAAGAAGAAATAAAATAATTTTTAACCAATAAAATTTACCTTGTTCTGTTTTTTAAAATAAAATTTTCATCAATAATTCAAACTAAAAATAAGAAAACAATTAAAAGAAGAAAACTGATTAATTAATTAAAAAAATTTCAGCATGAACATACAAAACATCACGGTAGTAGTCGGAACAAACAGCCTGAAGATAGGCGGAGACGTTTACAAGACAAACTACACTACAGTTCACAAAAACTACACAGGAGACCTGACAAGCGACATTGCGCTGTTAAGAATCTCCGGGAAGTTCAACTTGACAAAGAAAGTGGCGCCAATCCCCCTGGCGGTGAAGGACGAAACTAAAAAAGAGTACCCCGCTAAGCTCTCCGGATGGGGAACCACCATCTTGGGCGGAGCGGCGCCGGATAAACTTCAAGAGATAAATCTTACGGTGATTTCGCAGGTTAGGTGCAAAAGCTATCACTCGATAGTCACAGCAGGGCACATTTGCACCTTGACCACCAAGGGAGAAGGCGCTTGTCATGTAAGTTTTTTATTTTAACCTTCTGTTCAAGTTTTGCTCGGTGCTTTAATTTTTTAATAAAAATTAATTTAGTCGACATTTAATTATTTATCACATAAGAGTTAGCAGTTAAAATTTTTTAATTTTATAGAACAAAAAAATTATTTTAAAAAATTGCATTTTTTATTTTAAAAAATTTTCTGCATGTTAATTTTTTTTGCTATAATTTATTTGTTATAAAATTATTTAAATTATTAAATATATGCTAAATTAATTTTCAAAATAATTTTGAGAATTTTTTTAACAAATAAATTATTACAAAAGTAATTTCTTAAAAAAAAATTAAAAAATCATCAACACGGAAAGAACAAGATTACACTGGATATCATCCCAGATTATACTAAGTAAAAAAAATTTCAGATAGTAGCTAGTGTAATCCAGATTACAATGAGTATAATCCAGATTATAATGAGTATAATCCAGATATAACTCAGTATAATCTGGATTTTTTTTTAGCTACTATCTGAAATTTTTTTTACCTCAGATATCACTGAGTATAATCTGAGATGATATCCAGTATCATCTTGTTCTTTACGTGAAGACTGCTAACTTTAATTTTATAATTTTTTATGGATGATTAGGGTGACTCCGGTGGACCGCTAACCGCAAATGGAACTCTCATTGGACTGGTTTCTTTTGGACGACCCTGCGCGGTAGGGTACCCAGATGTCTACACCAGAGTTTTCTTCTACCGAGACTGGATCAAGAAGGCCATTGCTAATGCTGATAAGCCTCACGATGAAGATGATATTGGGAATTTTTAGGTGTGATTCTGCATTAATAATGTATTGCCTTAAAATGTGCTAATAAAAATATAAAATTGTTAAAATATTAAAAGATTTTGAATTTTTTTGTAGTCAGTAATTTTTGTTGATGATATTTAAAAATCACTTATTTAAGATTAGTACCCTCGGTTACACTGGTAGAAAGATTTAGCTTAAATTAACTAAAGACAAAAATTCTTGTATCAAAATTATAACAAGGAAAATAATAAATTTTTTGGAACAAGAGAAAAAATTCTTGAGCCAAGAAAATTTTTTTTTTAATTAAGAATTTTGTCTGAGCTCAAAAAAAAATGATCTTCAGATTTAAATAAAAATTTAGGTGATAAGAAGAAACAAAATATTGAATACTTTGCGTAATTACGTATTTAATTAAATACGATATTAAAAAAAGGCTTTTTATGGAAAATTTGACACATGTGGTGCTACCTTAAGAAATTTTTTCTCGAATAATAATTTACAAAGTAAATTAATTCATTCAAACAACCAACATAAAATCTACTTATACTAATGTATTTATAAATAAATTCCTTTATATAAACTTTCTGCCAGTCGCTGAATAGCGAATATGACTTCTCATTCATTCATAAATGAAAAAATAAAAATAAAAACACCTAACAGGATATAAAATACATCGGAATTAACGTAATGTATTCATGCATACAAAAAAATGAGATACATTATTTTAGTTGAGTAAATTTATACAAAATGTATAAAAAAGTTATTCTTAAAAATAAACAATTATTTCTAATTTAATTAACAAATTAGTGGAAAGAGATAAATATCTAATGAATAATTCACAGTTATTGCTAACTTATTTTTATAAAATTTTACATTTCAGTTTTTTTTTTCCAAAATACAGTAACTGCAAAAATTTATCTGAATTTTTTAATACTTTAAACTAGCAACCTTGCAGTCACTATGTAACTGCCGTGACTTGTGAACTATAAATAAATAAAAATTTGCTTTATTAAATAATGACTTTTGTTAAATTGCACGGTACTTTCTTAGATATTGACATTTTTGAAAATATAAGCTCATCCTGATGTTATACTCATCAAGAGCTTTCATTTGAGTACCCACATCAATTTTTCATATATTTATATATATTACATATATGTATATATGAAAAATATATCAAAAATGCATGTAAGTTTCAAATGAAAGCTCTTGATGAGTATAACACCGGGATGAGCTTATATCTTTAAAAACGCTAATAGTTAAAAAAGTAGAGTGCAATTTAACAAAAAATTGCTAGTTTGGAATTTTTTTTTTAAATATGGACATTAAAAAAAGATATAAGCTAACAATCAAAAGTTTTTTTTTTTAGATTTTATCAAAAATTCAAATTAAAAAAAAAATTTATTTCAGTATAAAAAATTTTTTATTTGAATTTTGTACTTTTAAATTATTATAACATCGATTTAAATATAAATTTGCATATATTGATCCTACACATTTATAGTATCCAAATAATTTACACCTGACTAATACTAATCAAAAATGATTATCTTTATTGTCAATGCATAATATATAAAAAATAATAAAATAATAAATGAGGTCAATTGAAGATAAATTCCAGAAAGTAGTTGAAGCATAATTTAAATAACGACCGGCAAAATATGAAGCATTTATTATCGATCGATCAATTAAGCTCGCTCGCGACACAGCAACTAAAAGTCATACGTCAATTTACCAAAATGACAATTTGATCCTTGAATAGAATAGAACCCCAGAAAAAGAGGAAGAATCGATAACTATTTTTACCAAAGTGTCTGGGACAAAAAAATCGTGTACACCCCAGCAATATTTATCTCTATTTTTATTTCGTTATCAACTGAATTCTGAAGAAGAAAACCCTCAAATCCCCATCTAAAACTAATCTTATCGACTGTCATATCTCTTTATCTGTATCTATGTACACAGATACAGATAAAGATAAAAATAAAGATGTATTACTATATATAAATCTAAATTGGCGACGATCAATAGCCATTGTTCAATCGGTAAATTGTTTCTTATATTTTTTTTCAGTGCTATGCCCGTCTATTAAAGTTACGAATTTGCTGTGTAGAAATAGTAGTATAGAGCAAGCAGAGAAGATGATAAAGGTCCTGTATTGTAGCTGGTACATAACAGTAGCCATCGAAGAATCGGTTTATAACTATAGGCACGGATTAATTGGATCGGATGTCGGATAATGTGAAATCGAGCAGACTATCGAGTTTTGATATGGAATATGGAATATAATACCCGCCAATAGCTTACACCATTCCATTGATTCTGCTTACGATCACGTTCATCAAAATCATCAACTTTAATTACTACATTAGAGCTTAGCTCCGCCTACAGCTTTAACAACGTCTTGTTATACTGTTATTATATTATAATAATAACACCATTGTTAAAGACGTCGAAGGGTTTGCTCACGGAACAGAAAACGGTTTCGAGAACGCCTTGATTGCTGTGCTGCCTGAAATCTAAGCTGTACTACTATTACTGTTACTATTATCATTACTAAGTCATTCGAGGCTCTAAATGTGAGTATATATAATATATATTCTTGCTTGTTATTCTACGACATACTGTGTACTGACTTAATCCGTTTCTTAATAATGTACCATACTGGTAGTTAATGATAATTGACGAGGGTATTTATTTTAATTATTCAAATTTTACTTTAATGTTCACGCGATCGCAAAGTTACTTTTCTGTCATTTTATGTTGGAGGTTTTTTTTAATTAAAATTGTTTTTTTCTTATAAATTATAACTCTGTTAATATTTTCAATTTTTTATATTTAATAGTTAGTTAGTTAACTGATATTAGAACGTTTTTTAGAATTTTATAACAATTAAATTTTAATTAAAAAATTTAATTAAAAAATTTTACGTGAAAATTAAAAAAAGCTATGAGTGGAAATTTTTTGAAACATTTTTTTTTTGGAATTAATTTATTATAAAAATTGAAAAAATTGACAGCTGTCAGCTAATTTCAGTATCATAAAAATTTTATGTAACAGAAAGAAAAAATTTTTTAATAAAGTAAATTTTGTTGAAGCTCAAAAAAATATTTAAAGAGAAAAATTTTTTTTGAGCCAATTGTTTTTGTCTAAGAGCATGTAATACAGTCTGTTGTCAGTAATTCAGTTTGGACTAGTGATGATAAATGCCAATTGAATATATCGGATTGTTTTTTTGAAACACATAAAATGCACTGAAGATTATCAGGCTGACTGTCAATACTCCCAACACTGTTCAAAAAAATTAAACTATAGTTTATTTACTATAGTAAATTAAATTTTTTGTTTATAATTAAATTTCTATCCAAACCTATTAGCTGCATTTTATTAATTCTGTCTTATAAGTAATCTAAACCAAAGTAAAAATTAACCCAAAAAATTAAATCAATTTAATTGATTTCATTTTTGGCCCGGAGATAAGACAGTTTTACGCGCGAACTCTACCTATTTATTTATCATTTTGTTATTTTTTTTCAATGATTAAATTTAAAAATAGAAGAATCAATTTACGAAGGACTATTATTAACATACTCTTGCCAAGCTTAATGATTTTTTGTTCAAAAATTACTTGGTCAAAAAGCGTCTCAGTATTTTATCCAAAATATGAATATTCTCTCCCTACATATTCTTAATGAATTTTTGTGAAAAATTGATATTTAGTAAAATGCTATACTTATAGTTACTTTAAAAATTTTGTAAATTTTTGACCTTAGGGGAGCTTGGGGTCGCCCCGGTCACCAACATTTAAAAAAATCTACTATACCTTAAATAATGAATTTTGTTTTATTTTGTACTCTTATTCAGCTGAGAGTAAAAAATAGATTCAAAACTTAGAAATATAGTATTTATTAGTAATAATTAAAAATTAAAAAATTGATTCCCATTTGATCTAAGAATCGGAATCATTTTCGTAAGGCTTTTAATATAGTTTACAGCAAGATAAAAATTTATAATTTTTATGTATATAATCTATAAATCTTCCTTTATAAGTGGGAATTTTTATTATACTGTAATTATTAATCGTTTTCTTTTGAATAAAGTTTATTTTCTCAACTATCGGTTGGGGTCATACC